TGGTCCTGGCCAAGCAACAAAACCATCTGAAGACGACGTTACAAGTAAAGGCATGGTCATACCACAAAGGCCTCTGAGGCCAAGATGTAGTGGGGATCATACACTGATAGCAACTACAAATTCACTTCCATCGCAACAACTTAACCATCGACAACAGCCACATTCAGGAGGTTACATCGCCTCACCACCCGTGATTGGTGAAGTGGTTTATGCACGAGTTTTTGGAAATGCATGTCCAAACTCGTATAACCTTGTAGGAAACACGAGTTTGAGAATGAGAAGGCAGCTATTACACGCGGATAGATCACTTGGCAGATTATATTTCTTCCTCATCTGTTGTGTATTGGCATGCCTTCTCTTGTTTTGATCACTTTTCGCGCTACATTGCGTGTAATTTGTATATATGTGTACCTTATTAGATGCTGAATATACGAGCTTCGCTCAATGTAACATGTCTTTGAAGCTTTTTATGTTCTTGATTCTGGCTAATAATACACAATTTTTTTTTACCATAAGATGTGTCATTAACAACCAAAAGATGCTACCTTTCTTTGTTCTTTGGTCTTGGTACTACTACTGCAATAACATATCCAATATAATCTTATTTGTCGAAGGGTAGAGTGTATGCAATAATGCAAACCTTACCCGGGTGATGGAGAGGTTTGTTACAAATAGATCTTGGCTCAAGTACAAGTATATCAAAACAACAGAAGTGAAGAGACCATGACAATATACTAGAGATATCGTAGTAAAACATTTTGAAAGAAAAAAAGAAATAATAACTACAACATAATGATACTATAATTGAAGTAAAAGAAACAACATATAGTAACAGAAATAAAAGGAACAAGTAAATAATTTGTGTCTTTCGTAGTCTCCTATCTAAGGTCATGTCCTTTATAAGTCAAAGTTGTGTCATGTCCTGTCTAATTACCTCTCCCGCAAACTTCCTTGGCCTACTTCCACCTCCCCTAAAACCATTCAAAGCCAACCTCCACGCTTGGACATTAGTACATTTCCTATTCACATGTTCAAACCGTCTCAGTTACAATCACTTCAACAGTTTGTGTAGTTGTCTAAAATGTCAAAGGATGTTAATTTTGAGTTTGTTGGTTTGACATGAAAACTCTGCTTCTGTTGCAAAAATCTGTCTCAATCTAAAAAACAAAGGATAATAATAAAAAAAAACTGTCCATTTTTATTTGTTTGTCTTATTTTGACTTGATACGAAGTTTAAGAAAGTAATAATATTTTTGAATCTTGTGGTCTTCAATTAAAAAAAATGTGAAATGTATCAAATTGTCAATTAAGTTTTTGGTTTTAAACATGTCAAGTTGAAATTAACAATTTGTTAAAAAAGAAATGTTATAGAGGACAAGGTGAGAGTTGTCTCTTTGACGGATAAGATAAAGGAAGAATAAGATGATTCAGATACTATGAAGAGGAGGTGCGTGGATACGCCAATTAGGAGGTAGGCAAAAAAAAAACATGGAAAGGTGATTAATAAAGACATGATGCAGTTTCAGATTATATGGCCCTAGATAAGAAGGTATAAAGGTCGAAGATTAGAGTAAAATTCAGTAGGTAGCCGAGTGTAATCGTCCGTTAGGTGGGAGAAGTTAAGGACTTGCCTCATATCCTACTCTTTGCTTTGTATTTTGATATTTTATTGTCATTTTTTCTTCGTACAATCCTTCTATGAGTAATTTCTCTTTTAAATCGAGAATCTATCAAAAATTAATTGCTTTCTAGTTCGTAGCTACTTATTAATTAATGATAGAATTAGCACAAATAATTTTTAAATTAAGGTGGCCTCTCAAAAATTGGAAGCCACTAGGAACACAGATTTTCTAGAACACAGTTTTGAAGTTGCAATTTAACTACAGATCTTAGTAATAGTATTTATAAGTAAAAAAAAACAAGAAAATAATTACAAGTGTAAAATACTTATTTATTTTGTTTAGTTAATTATTACAGAGAGTCAGAGTATGTCTATTAACGATTAGGAAACTGCCAAGTAGCCCCATAAAACTAAAATGTGGTGAATTAAAGAAAACCCTAAATTAATATTAAAGAAATTGGGTGATAAAGACTAATAACTTGACTTTAATACTTAATTACACACTAATTGCCAGGTTGGATAAGGTCTTAGCTGAAAAATTAAGGTATGACTTCAATGACTCGACACCTAATGTGGTGTTCACGGGTCGGTTTGGATCGGTTATTGGTCAAAATCAAAACCAAACCAACTTAATCAATTTTAAAATTATCAAAACCAAACTAAACCAAATATAAAATACATTTATTGGTTTGGTGGTTATCGGTTTCGATTTGGTTTGGTATGGTTATTCGGTTATTAACCATACAAAAAAATAAAAGAAACAATTCATTCAAAATGTGACAAAAGCGACAACAATCCATTCAAAACGAAAAATAGTTAGCATGACTAAAATTACCGAATTTACTATTAATAAAGCTTTAAATTCACTATTTTGGCCTAGAAGGAAGAGACAATAACATTTTCAGACCCACAAAGAATTGTCATAGACACTCATATACATGAAATCAATAAGATAAATGTTTTCACCATGTACATTTTTGCTTTCAATAAGTAAATTATAAAGAATTTTTTATGAAAACATATTTAAGATCTTTAAAATTGTTTATAAAAATAATATATTAAATATGTATATTAAAATATATGTATATAATTTATCGGTTCAATTTGGTTATTTCTTTAGTTTTTTCGAATAAAAACCAATAACCAAACCAAATACTATTGGTTTTCAAAAATCTAAAACCAAACCAAATCAAACCCAAATAAAATCGGTTTATTTTATCGATTTGGTTCAACTTTTCGATTTGGATTAATTTTTATCCAGACCATAAACATCCCTACCTAACATCATGGGCGGATCAGAAGATTCTGACGGATTTGAGCTTTGAAAACAGCTATTTGTATAAATGTAAAGTACATAAGGTTGTGTAAAGATGGAAGAAAATTATACTTTTCTTTTAAGAAAAGTTAAAACATTTATGGTAATACTTTGACTTTCTTTTAAGAGGAGAATAATAATCAAATAAAGTAAAAAAAATTAGGACAAAACTCTAACAGATCTTTAATGCCTCAAAGCTTTAATTTCTCTGTTATAAAGATGCATTATATTTTTTTTTAGACCGACTAAAAATTATAGGAAAAATTAGCAAATTAGTCAAAATTGCTAACATAATTAGCTAAAATATCTACACTTTAAAATAATTATCAAAAATGTCATTATGTCATTATTTTAGCAAATATAATGTATCCTAATATAATTAATTTACTATCCTTTTATTTCTCAAATCAGACCCTTATTTACCTAGTTTGACTTCACTATCAGTTAAAAGTAAAAAAAAACCCCACATTTCAATCTTCTCTCTTTAGGTTTTTACCTCAAATCTCTCTACTTTCTCTCTATCGTTTCCACCATTGTTATCTCCTATACTTGTTTAAGAAATTTCTTCGAAATTAATCCATTTTTTAAAGAAATTTCTTTAAGTCATTCGTAGCATTAACATTTTGTAGCAGTTTATTCTGCTAAGGCATCATTTTAAGGTTATGAAGTAATGATTTATCTTTAAAAAATGTGTGAAATTTATGAAGCTATTTGGTTTATCATGTTAAGGTTATGAAGTTTGGGTGGGACAGTATCACATTTTAAAATATATATGTGTTCATTATATAGGAATTTATCCTAATTGCATACGTGAAACAATTTTTTTATTTTATTTTGCTCATTTTGTATTTTGAATATCACTTTGTATATCAAATAGTTTGTATTTAGATTTGATTTCGTATTCTTCCTAATGGTATACCATCAAGTTTTGTATTTATTTTTGATTTCGTATTCATTCTAAATTCTAAATAATCAAAATACAGTTTATTTATGTATTCATTATATAGGTATTCATCCTAATTGCATCAGTAAAACAGATTTTGTATTTTATTTTACTCATTTTGTATTTTCAATATCACTTTGTATACCATATAGTTTGTATTTAGATTTGATTTTGTATTC